CAAAAATTTCTAAACAAAAAAATTCCTGCACAGAAATTGGAAGGAAGGTCGAGAGGTTGCCTTAAATACTGGGAAAATTTGCATGTTTTTTTACCTCTTAGTGATACAAAGACATTTGGTTTGTACGCTGTTGTCAACTAAGTTTTGATCAATTTTTTGGCTGGAGCGAGCGAGAATATTCCACTGTTCATTTCTCAACGAGAGAAAATCATTTGATTTAACCGTTGGGAAGGTTTTAATTTGGTGGCTCACTCGGGGACTTCAGACAATTTTCCCACAAATTCACTGCAAATTTTCTACGGTTTATTCTGGCACTTACAGGGGGAACATTTTCGTTACAACTTGATCGTTATGTGAATGCACATAACAGGGGCCGTAACCGGATTTTTCTTAATCGGTCTTGTCCATTTTATGTTGGAAAGTCGAGAGTTTCATTTTGAGGCAATTTCCGAACTAAATTCAGTTGGAAATTTCCAATGCCCACCCTTTGAGACAGTAGAACAACATTTACTTTGCCCACTCTGAAAGTTCTAATTGCGTCACTTACCCAGGGTCGTATCAGGAATTTTTTAAATTGAACTCTGTTAATTTTTGAGACTGGATTTTCTAACAATTGTTGTGACACAAAATTCATCTGAAGTTTCCTATTGATTATTCCCGTATTTGTAGGCGAAAACTTTTCGTTACACACAGAAAAAGTTCCGATTTGATTGCACACTCAGGGCCGTAGCAGAGATTTTTTCGGGTTGGGCCGGTCAACTTTATGTCGAATGTCTCGTCTTTACTTATTTTTCCACTAAATTCAGGAGAAATTTTCTAAAGCCGACTTTTCTCCCCAATGGAAGAATATTTCCTTTGCACACTCTGGAAGTTTTAATTGCGTCGGTTACTCAGGGACGTATCAGAAATTTTTTAAATTGGACCCTGTCAACTTTATGTATAAAGTCCCATCTTTACAAAAAAAAATCCCCACTAAATTCAGAGGAAATTTTCTTCTGCCGACTTTTCTAAACAGTAGTAGAACGGCTGCTTTCCCATTTTGAAAGTTTTAATTGCGTGCGTTACTCAGGGACGTATCAGGAATTTTTTAAATTGAACCCTGTTAATTTTTGAGACTCGATTTTCTAACAATTTTTGTGACACAAAATTGATCTGAAATTTCCTATTGATTATTCTCGTATTTGAAGGCGAAACCTTTTCGTTACGCACAGAAAAAGTTCCGATTTGATTGCACACTCAGGGCCGAAGCAGGATTTTTTATAGTTTGTCCTGGCAACTTTATGTCGAAAGTCTCGTCTTTGAATATATTTTCCAGTAAATTCAGCAGAAATTTTCTAATGCCCACTTTTCTCACCAATGGAAGAATATTTGCTTTACACGCTCTAGGAGTTTTAATTGCGTCGGTTACTCAGGGACGTACCAGGAATTTTTAAATTGAACCCTGTTAATTTTATGTTTAAAGTCCCATCTTTAAAAAAAAAAATCCCCACTGAATTCAGAGGAAATTTTCTTCTGCCGACTTTTCTAAGCAGTCGAAGAACGTCTGCTTTGCACATTCTGAAGGTTTTAATTGCGTCCGTTATTCAGGGACGTATCAGCATTTTTTTACAATTTCCCGTGTTAATTTTCGAGACTCGATTTTCTAACAATGTTTGTGACACAAAATTAATCTGAAATTTCCTATTGATTCTCGTATTTGAAGGCGAAACCTCTTCGTTACGCACAGAAAAAGTTCCGATTTGATTCCACACTCAGGGCCGTAGCAGGGATTTTTTCAGGTTGGTTCGGTCAACTTTATGTCGAAAGTTTCGTCTTTGCATATATTTTTCCCCTAAATTCAGCAGAAATTTTCTAATGCCGACTTTTCTAACCAATAGAAGAATATTTGCTTTGCACACTCTGGGAGTTTTAATTGCGTCGGTTACTCAGGGACGTATCAGGAATTTTTTAAATTAGACCCTGTCAACTTTATATATTTATAGTCCCATCTTTCAGAAAAAATCCCCACTTAATTCAGAGGAAACTCTACTGCCGACTTTTCTAAGCAGTCGAAGAACGTCTGCTTTGCTCATTCTGAAAGTTTTAATTGCGTCCGTTACTCAAGGACGCATCAGCATTTTTTTACAATTTCCCCTGTTAATTTTCTAACCATTTTTGTGACACAAAAATTCATCTGAAATTTCCTATTGATTATTCTCGTATTTGAAGGCGAAACCTTCTCGTTACGCACAGAAAAAGTTCCGATTTGATCGCACGCTCAGGAACGTAGCAAGAATTTTTGAAAGTTGGCCCTGTCGACTTTATGTCGAAATTCATTTTTTGAATATATTTTTCCACTAAATTCAGAGCAAATTTTCTAATATAAACTTTTTACTTTTCTTAACAGTACAAGAAACTCTGCTTTGCACACTGTAAAAGTGTCAATTGCGTCGGTTACTCAGGGACGTACCGGAAATTTTTTACAACTCCCCTGCTAATTTTCGAGACCCGATTTTTTTACAATTTTTCCACCAAATTTAGAATGAATTTTTCCAAACAATAGAAGAACATTTCCTTTGCACACTCTGCAAGTTTCAATTGCCTCACTTACTCAAGGACGCATCAGGAATTTTTTTCCTGCCAATTTTTAAGTCTAATGTCGCAGGTTTTTTAACGAGTTTTTTCGCCCAAAATTCATCGGGAATTTCTCATCGATTACTCCGGTACTTGAAAAAGGAAAATTCTCGCTTCACACTGAGAAAGTCCTAATGTGATTGGGCACTCAGGCCCGTAACAGGATTTTTTTTAATCTGTCGACTTTATGTGGAATGTGTCGGATTTTAATCAATTTTCGCTCTGATTCCGGCAGAAACTTTCTAATGCCGACTGTTTTAAATAATAGATGAACATTTGTTTTACACGCTGTGAAGGTTTTAATGGGATAGAGACACTTAGAGACGAAGTAGTATTTTCCGAAATTTTCGCTGCTGATTTCCAACTTAAAATTCATCATGAATTTCCCATAGATCATTCTGGTATTTGGGGTGGAATTTTTTCGCTACCAACTGAGAAAGTTCCGATTTTATTGCTCACTTAGGACAGCAATAGGATTTTTTTCCGAATTTTTCTACCAGAAAAGTTATCTGAAATTTGCGGAATACGCAATTTTAACGAGAATATGAAGCATTTTCCTACAAAGTAACTTTGCCTGAACCGAAAGCAAACCGGAGAAAATACTGCGAATGGGAAAACCCCCAGTCCAACAAAGAAGTGAGCATCAAAACGCTGCTGTTATGGATTGAAATTGAACGATTTCCTGCATCACAAAGCAGTTGCATAAACTTCGTGCCTGCCCAGTCAAAATACCGGGAACTTTAGCAGGAAACGCGTCACCAGGAAGTAAAACTGCGAGCGCACGTCAATCAATCGGCACCAGATCTTCGCCTAGATGAGGGTCCGCCCGCCATCGCACCAGGCCAAGAACCAAAACAATGAAAAAGCGAAGAAACAGACGCCAGAAATTCGGCAGCCAGCCGATATTAATATCTTCAAGGGAAGAAAACAGGTAGCAAATACCTTCAAACAATTCTTGAAAGCAGCCGATTAGTCGCGTGCTGCCCACAAGACCTAAGTAGGTCTTCATGTACCGGTAATTGTTACCTTTGGGCCAAAGAACGAACAAACCGGTCAATTAGCAGGCGCTAATCACTAAATATCGTCATTGCAACGGGTTGGACCGATTGGTTCGGCCAATTGAAGCAATCTGAAGCGCTGAATGAGGCTGCAACCGGGATTAATGGGGCTAATCGCTAATAATGCCGCCTGCACGCCTGCACGTGCCAAGAGTGTCCATCCAGGTGACTTCCTCAGGTGGGACACGTGCAAGACAGGCGACACGAGCCACTGGACGTAACGCGCTGAACACCTAAAAGGGCTTAAAATCCGTTTTCTTTTTGTAATCGGAAGCAGGAAGAGGAACAATACTCGGTGCTTCCAATAGCCATGTAAATGGGGGAAATTGTTAATTTTTTTGTTCTCCACTAGGAAAATTTGTTGGTACTTTGTACGGAAATTTTCTACAAAGCGGGCACATTGCCAACGGCGCAGGCCACAGCCTGAAGGCCTCAGTAATTATCAGCAAATTATCCGAATACTTTCCGTAATTTGCAGGCTTCTTTCGCTTAAACCTTTATGGGATTAATCGTCATCAGCTGGGCTTAGCTTGCAAATGCATCAGTATCAGCTAAGCCCAGTTGATGAGGCCTAATAGGTCTGAAACCTGTTGGTACTAGTCGCATACCATTTAAAGAGTTTGGCTTGCTAAATATTCCGTTTTTCGTCGGCATTAATCCTCATTTTTCACATACAACTGAGGTGCTTCTTCCGCTGAAGCGTCGGTGATTTTTCCAAATAGGCAACTGAGCTCAATGGTTTTGTATTGATTACGAAGCCAAACAGCCGTTTAGGAGTAACGTAAGGAAATATTATCAATAACAAATTGAAGGTGGAACCTTGTCGGCGGCCGACACTTTCGTATAATATTTCGCGCTCTTCGCATAAACAACAGTTAAAAAGCGGAAATTCGTTTAAAAACAATCTGGACTGGGTTCCCCGAATCAGTTTCACGGTTCGAATTGTGAAGAAAAAAGCATAAAGGAACCAAACACTCCAAGCCACCCCCATGGGCGATGGAAGTGGTACCTGACTCCCTGTCGGGTTCCTAGAGCATACAAACATTATTTTACTGTTTGGTGTCGTTCGTTAATGTTATCGTCGCAGTTTCAACATACGCGCTCCGTCTAGACGTGCGATGGACTGATCAGTACTCGGACTTAGTGACTAGTGACCACTTAAACTTAACATGGATTCCCATCGGCAATATACGAATTATTCCAGCAAGTTAGTGTTGTTTTTTTCTAAGTTCTTGTAGTGTAAATAAATTGATTTTCGGGGCGCCGGACCTGCGGAAAAGTGGGTGGATCAACGCAAGCTCTTCCTTCAATCGTTTATTTTATTTTCAGTTCGATCTTCGCGAGAAACTACAATACGCCCACGATGCATTACTATTCCGGAACATCGTCAGAACTGCATGGACAAAACCAGATCTGGTCCAGCAATGGTAAGTCGATAGCAGGCTAAGACTCGGTTGGAATTAATGAAAAAAACGCGCAGAGGTCAGAAATGTTCGATCAATGTTTACGAGTCCCAACTTTTTCCGAGCCTCTGGATTGGCCAGATTTGGCAGCTTTTGACTTTTTTGAACACGCTTCTAGAACAGAGCTGAACCATTACGGTACTTGGACAATTCAAAATTTGAGACGGGAGCAACATCGGTGTTTCCCAGAAATGGTTTGAAATATTCGATCAGTCTTCCAGATCTTTTCGATATCGCATTTAGAAAACTGCATTTTCTGCTTAACGTAAATCGCAAATTTGCAACCTCTGAAAAGGTGGAAGCAAATATTTGAAAAATGTGCGGTCTCAAGCTTGAAAAGCAGTCTTCAGAACCTTTTCGATGACGCGTCCTAAAAACCGTATTTTCGACTTACTTTGAATCGCAAATCCTAACCTTTAAAAAGTGCAAGCAAATATTTCAAAAATGTGCGGCCCCAAGCATAAAACTCCCTGTATCTCAATAACGATTGATTGTCCAGTCAGTCTTTAGAATATTTTCGATAGCGCGTCTAAAAAGCTGTGTTTTTTGATTAGTTTAAATTGCAAGTTTGTAACCTCTTAAAAAATCGAAGCAAATAATTGAAAAATGTGCAGTTTTAGGTGTAAAACACCCTGTATGTTAGTAACGATTCGAAAAATCCAGTCAGTTTTCGGAACCTTTTTGTTAGCGCCTCTAAAAAGCTGTATTTCCTGCTTAGTTTAAATCGCAAATTCGTAACCTCTAAAAAATCGAAGCACATAATTGAAAAATGTGCAGTTTTAGCCGTAAAACACCCTGTATCTCGGTAATGGTTCGAAAAATCCGGTCACTCTTCAGAACCTTTTTGATAGCGCGCCTGAAAAGCTCTATTTCTTGCTTAGTTTAAATCGCAAATTCGTAACCTCTTAAAAAGTAGAAGCAAATTTTTCAAAAATGTGCTGACCCGGTCATAAAACAACCTGTATCTCAGTAGCGGTTCGAAAAATCCAGTCACTCTTCAGAACCTTTTCGATAGAGCGATTAAAAAGCTGTATTTTTTGCTTAGTTTAAATCGAAAATTCGTAACCTCTAAATAAATCGAAGGAAATAATTGAAAAATGTGCAGTTTTAGCCATAAAACACCCTGTATCTCGGTAATGGTTCGAAAAATCCAGTCACTCTTTCTCTTTTTCATAGCGCGTCTGAAAAGCTGTATTTCTTGCTTAGTTTGAATCGCAAATTCGTAACCTCTAAAAAAGTTTAAGCAATTTTTTCAAAAATGTGCGGACCCAGGCATAAAACACCCTGTATCTCAGTAACGGTTCGAAAAATCCAGTCAGTCTTCAGAACCTTTTTGATAGCGTGTTTAAAAAGCTGTATTGTTTGCTT